TGTTACCTGCTGCTGACTCAATGGCCTAAAGCAAAATTCCCCCAAACCTGACAATCTTACTGTTTAATAAACAATTACCATTGATATGTCTGTTTGCATTCCTAAAGGCAATTGTGTATTCTAGCTAATAAAAGCAGCCGGGAAAGGAGCAACAGGGAGAACTTGACTGCTATGGTTAAGTTGTCCTCTGGTTATCCCAGTATTAAAAATAATATTTCATCTTGTGTATCATTTGTGCATTAGCTCTTCCTCCAAGCCTTAGAACCCTCGAAAGCCACACTGGCTGTGGACTCTCGCAGAACTTATCTTTCTCTGTCTGATTTATTTCACTTAGCATAATACCTTCTAGGCCTATCCATGCTGTCACAATGGTAAGGTTTTGTTTTGTTATGGCAGTATCATACTTTATTAAACAACATAAAGGTTTGACTCAACAAACACATGAGAGTGGTGATAACAAATATACATGAAAGTATATATGTTTGTTATTAAAATATCTCAATAATATTCCAATGATTAGGTACAGTGCAGGTGGGTACTTCAAATTTGGGGGGCTGTGATGCAAAGTATATGAATAACCACTATGCTGTCCATGTGAAACTAATAAAAATAATATTGAACAGAAACAATAACTAAAAAGTAAAATAAAATAAAAATATCTTGAAGTGATCATATTGGAATTCTAAGTTCCAAGGTTTTCATTAAACCATCGAAGATTGCACACACTATAGCACAAAAATAGATGAGTTTAGCTGGGGCTATTTGTTTATATCCCTTCTTTCAGTCATAACTTCCATTTTATTGTTTCTGGGATGCAATTTATGGGTGTTTTTTAAGTTGATTTTAAAGAGAGCAGAAGGGAGAGGGATAGAAACATTGATGAGATATAAACTTTGATTGGCTGCCTCCTGCACACCCCCTACTGCAAATCCAGCTATAACACAGGCATGTGCCCTGACCCTGAATCCAGACAGGAAACTTTTGGTTCATGGGTCAATGCTCAACCACTGAGTCACACCAGCCAGGCTATGGGATATAATTTATATTTAAACCAAAGGACTTAAAACAAAACAAAACTCTAGTGCTTATTACATTTTTTTTAGCAATCTCCTTTATACTTTCACTGGTTCAGAAGGTCACATGTACAAAGCTAACTTAGTTTCCCAATTCATAGGGACGACTAACAGAGAGATAATTAAAAAACAAACTTGAGAATGTTTTCCTAAACTATTATTTAGTTGATAGAATCTACTTAAATATACAATTACATATTTATTTATTTATTTAAATATATTTTATTGATTTTTTTACAGAGAGGAAGGGAGAGAGATAGAGAGTTAGAAACATCGATGGGAGAGAAACATCGATCAGCTGCCTCCTACCCACCTCCTACTGGGGATGTGCCCGAAACCCAGGTACATGCCCTTGACCGGAATCAAACCTGGGACCTTTCAGTCTGCAGGCTGATGCTCTATCCACTGAGCCAAACCGGTTCCGGCAGAATTACATATTTAGACAAACTCATTTTATACACAAACTTTTTTTAGTAGTGGAAAATGAGAATGGATTAGAGAATTGGTAAAGAGAACAAAAGCAAATGAAATTATACCTCTTTTTGAAGTTGAAATTTCTCTTTTTTCCAAGCCAGGCTCTCTACTTTTACCATGTCTATGTCATTCTTAAGCCTTTGTATATCTTGCTGTAGTTCTTCATTTACATACTAGAGGCCTGGTGCAAGAAAATCATGCATGGGGAGGGGGGTCCCTCAGCCCGACCTGCAACCTCTCACAATCCGGGACCCCTCAGGAGATGTCTGACTGCCTCATTGCCCCTAACCATTCTGCCTGCCTGCCTCATCATCCCTAACACCTCTGCCTGCCTGCCTGATTGCCCCTAACCATTCGCCTGCCTGCCTGATTGCCCCTAACCACTTGCCTGCCTGCCTGATCACTCCTAACCCCTCTGCCTGCCTGCCTGCCTGCCTGATTGTCGTTAACCACTTGCCTGCCTGTCTCATTACCCCTAACCACTCTACATGCCTGCCTGATCACCCCAAACTGCTCATCTTCCTGCCTGTTCAGCCCTAATGGCTATCCTGTCTGCCTCATCGCCCCTAACCACTCTGCGTGCCTGCCTCATAGCCCCTAACTGCTCACCTGCCTGCATCATCACCCCTAACCACCTCTTCCTTGGTCTCCGCTGCTGCAGCTTCATCTGGAAGGACGTCCAGAATGACATTCAGAAGGTTGTTCGGCTGTCCAGTGTAATTAGCATATCACGCTTTTATTATTATAGGTACTCCAGGTGTTCTGTCATTGTGCAGTGCAGAGGAACTTCATCTTTTAATTTAGAGTCCATGCTTTTACAATAATTAGCACTGCAATTATCTGCACATAATGGCTTGTGGAACAAGTCTTGATTTGGCTTTGTTTCCTTATAAGTATTTGTAACAGCAGACATATCATGGCTTTTTAATTGAATCATTGCCACAGACAAGCCACAAAGATTGATTTTCAGATCACTAGAATGAGGTGTAGGTACAATGCCCAATTTCCATGAACAGGCCAACAGCAATGAAAACTCTACCAAGGCAGGCTCACCTAACACAATAACACACACAAGTGACATTCCAGGAGCACCTAGCTCAGGTGACAGAAAGAATATGCCAATGAGCCTCACAAGACACCTAATACATAAGGCCATTATACCAAGAATGCAAGGCAAAGCAGATCTACCCAATACACAGAAACAAGTACAGTGAGGCAGCTAAAATGGGGATAAAAAGAAATATAATCCAAATGAAAAAACAACAACAAAAAAAACCCAAAAACACAAACAGAGAATTCCTCAGAAAAAAAACACACAAACCAAATAAAACGGAGGAAAGATGTTACCAGCTACAGAGTTCAAGAACATGGTTACAACGATGATCAAGGAATGTAGTGAGAACTTCAACAAAGAGATAGCAAGTATATAAAAGGACAAAGAAACCATATAAAATAACCACTCATAAAGTATATAATATCTGAAATGAAAAATACACTAGAAGGAATCAGTAGCAGATTAGATGAAGCAGAGAACAGAATCTTTTTTAAAATAAATACATTTGATTGATTTCAGAGAGAAAGGGATAGGAAGAGATAAAAACATCAATGACGAGCCCTAGCCAGTTTGGCTCAGTGGATAGAGCATTGACTGAGGGTCCTGGGTTTGATTCCAGTTTATCCTCAGTAGGGGATGTGCAGGAGGCATCGAACCAATGATTTTCTCTCATCATTGATGTTTCTGTCTCTCACTCCCTCTACATTCCTCTCTAAAATCAATAAAAATATTTAAAAAACAACCACAATGATGAGAGAGAATCATTGATCATCTGCCTCCTGCACGCCCCACATGCCTAATTTCCAATCCGTGGTATTTGTGGTCATATTTTTTTCATCTGCATAGCAAAGTCTTGTTCTTCTTTCACTTCAGACATAACTACTGGGGTCCTTACTTTTTTATTTTCTGTATCATTATAAAAACTCTCCTCATTTTGTTTAAAACATGTTCAGAGTCTGCAACCCTGGCATATATCCTGACATGGATCGAACCGTGACCTCCTGGTTCAAAGTTTGACACTCAACCACTGAGCCATGCCAGCTGGGTGAAAATAGAATCTTTGATGTAGAAGACAAGATAGCAGGTAATATCCCATTAGTGCAGGAAACAAATATTTTTAAATGAGGCTAGTTTCAAAGACTTCTCTGACAACACAAAGTATAGCAACATCCACATTATAGGAGTACCAGAAGGAGGAGATAGGGAGGAGATAGGAGATAGTATTGACCCAGGAAACAAGAGGTCACTGGTTTGATTCCTTTTCAGGGCACATGCCCAGGTTGTGGGCCCAATCCCCTTCAGGGAACATAAAGGAGTCAGAGGATTTATGTTTCTCTCTCATCAATGTTTATATCTCTCTGTCCCTCTCCCTTCCTCTCTCTCTAAAATCATATTCTCCAACCATAATGGTATCAAACTATAAATCAATTACCAAATTAACACTGAAAACACACAAACACATGGAGTGTAAATAACCTGTTACTAAAAAGTGAATGGGTTAACAATGAGATCAAGGAGGAAATCAAAAGATACCTAGAGACAAATGAAATGAGAATATGACAACCCAAAATCTATGGGACATATGAAAGCAACCCTAAGAGGGAAATTCACAACAATATAGGCCTACATCAAGAAACAGGAAAAATCTCAAATTAACAATGTAACCTTTCACCAGGAGACATGTTTTAAATGAGTCTACTGGCTTGTTTTAAAAGGGGTAACATTATCTTCATTTGACTGATTGATTATGACAGTATTTTTTTTTAATGATTAAAGTTCACCAAACATAAAGTAAACCAGTAAAAATTCAGTAGCATTTGCCACATGCACCATGCTATGCAATGATCACCTCTATTTAGTTCCAAAACCTTTCAATCTCTCCAGAAGGAACCTCATTCCCATGAAATAGAGACTCCCCATCCCCCTACCCAAGTCTCTGACAACCACCTGTTTGATTGATTTGTGTCTCAATGGACCCACGTTTTTGTGGACATTGTATATAAAAAGAACCATGCAATAAAATAAATATATTTTCTGCTCTGGCTGTGGGGCTTGGTGGTTGGAGTGTTGTCCCATGCATGGAAGGGTCACGGGTTCAATTCCTAGTCAAGGCATATACACAGATTGTCAGTTCATTCCCATGATTGGCCATGCAGGAGAAAGCCAATCAACGTTTCTCCTCTCATCAATGTTTCTCTTTCTCTATCTCTCCCAGTCCTTTCCTCTTTCTAAAAATCAATTCAAAACATATTTCCTCACTGAAGGATTTAACAATAATGACTAATTTTGCATTGCAAACATAAAACAATGATAGGGAAGCCACTAGAAACTTTAAGAGTAAGTGATACACATAATTCAATTCAGAACAGGAAAATTAATTTCACAAGAGATCACTTTACCTTCAAGTCTTCATGGTCTGATGTAGGGCATGAATCAATAATGCGAGATTTGTAGTAAAATATACAACACAAATGAGTGAGTCCATTTCTTTGAAAAAACAACAAAACAGTTTAAGTGAAAAATCAGCTATCTATATATCAAATAAAGATTCTTAATATAATTAACACTGGGCCTTAGTTTTTTGTTGTTTTTTTTTTTTTAAACACTTTCCATTATCTATTTCTGCTGCTACCTCTCCCAACCTGTGAGCTATTTAATGAAGACACACTCTGCCTGAGATTAATTTGTTTTCACCAATTAATGGCGGACATAACTTTTATTCCCTAAACTGGAACACATCTGATGACCTAAGTCAAGGTAGGAAGATACACTGTCCCTTCCTCATCATCTGTCTCTGGTCCAGAGACTAAAGGATGTCAGTCAAACATGGCAGGCTTGCTTCTTTAGCATGGAAACCACCTATTAAGAAGAACCCATTCCTTCCTTTTACCTTAAAACTATACAGGAAGTTCCTGAAATGTTTGAATGTTATATATCCAAATGTCAAAAAACAAATGCTTATGTTGCTAGCCTTCCCACTCCCAGATCACCCTTCTGCAGGCTCCAGAACATTTACAGCTTCAGCTTATGAGGGCACAGACTCCTGAAACAAGGGTGGGAGCCCAGCGTGTGGCTGAGACCACATGCTCCTCAGGGGGACCATTGCCCTGAGACATGCCTCTGCATTCTCAGCCACCACAAGTGGATGTGGGGCCAGCCCTTTTGGAAACTCTGTCCTTCCTGCCAGTGTAGCTGAGGCGTCTTCTGTAGATCTTGGGTATAAGACTAATGTTCAGCTAGTCTTCAGGTTGGTAGTTATATAATTTAGTTGTCGTTCCAATTTGGCCCAGGGAGGAGGTGAGTGTGACTTTCACCTCTTTTGCCTCCATCTTGGAGCACCCCTAACAAATTCTGCACTTTAGGGGCTCACTGTTAGGATATGGTGAGGTGAAATATTTTAAGTGAGGAAGGAAGCATCTGTAATGTTAAAATTCAGCTAGTAATTTAATTTTGATAGATTTAGCATCTAATAAATTGTATAATTCCAATAGTGGCAAAATTAGGTGTGAGGGTTCATATTTTTATTTTTATTTAGACCAACGCAAGTTATTATTATTCCTTACTTCTCAGTTTCAATCCTGTGATTGGAAGTAACTAATCATAAATTAAGAATCCTAACAGTTAAATTTTAATTATATTCTAACTTATCTTTGTCCATACTTGATTACTCAAGGATAAATTATTTCAAAAACATATACCCCAACAGCAAAGACATCTGAAAATCAAAGCAAGCATATTCATCTTCCACCTTTGCATCTAGAAAAAATGTCTCAAGAGTCACAAATAAATAGGGCATGTGACAAAGAGGACACATCTGCATATTCAGGACACCGTTCTGTGCAAAAGGATGAGGAAATGTGCGTCAAACAAGGCACATTAGAGCAGAGGAAGAACTTACTACTTTCGGAAGATGAGTCAAAGCAGAGGTCACATGAATTTTCTGTAAAATTCAAAATGACTGAGTGCCCTGAGGAAGAGCCACTACGTGATAACTCTAAAGAAGGAGCAAGCTTAAGACAAATGCCTTCTAATTTGACAGGTAAAATGCTTGATTGTGAAGGAAAGATGCATTTGGAATGTCTGTCTCTGCAGCATTACAAACATTTCCTGAAGGAGAAGAAACCTCTCTCAAAATTGTTTCTCCATCTCAAGCAGACCCTCGGTCCCTAGTAGACCCTCCCTGGTCATCTTCTGAAAATGATCACAATGCCCTGAGAACCAGAGCCTGGAAGAGGAGCTCACAGGACATCTGGCTGTGAAAATCAGCAGGGCTTCTGCCCTCCCAGAAGAGGTGGGAGTCTGCTAGGAACCCAGGAGCCCTCTTAAAGGTCCGGTACACAAGGTCCCACCACTCACCCTGGGGCCTATGAAGAAAGGGTGGCTCAGAGTGCACTGGGAGTCATGTGAAGAGAGACTGCTTTGTGTGGCTCTGGGAGAGAGCTGAGGGGATGGCCTCTGGGTGCCCTCCCTGTGCTGAGTCCCTCTCCCAGATGCCATCACCCCTGGGTCAAGCCCTCCCTTCCTTAGGGCCTCAGCCTGGGGAACGTACATCCTGAATCCTTGTCCCCGACCCTGTAAAGCTATACAGTACAAAGGAGCCAGCTGCCTGGGCCCATGGTGTACACTTTCATGGAGGTCTCTTAAGGAGGTCGGGATGGACTCAGGGGGTATCAGAGATTGAGTCGTGTGACTTTGGGTTGGGGCTTTTATTCCCTTGCTGGTCTAACTGAGGCCACCATTCCAGTGCTGAGCCCTCTCTTCACACAGCCAAATCTTGATACCTGGGGGCCTGATGAATTCTGCTGGCCTTACCCTAATGACTCCCTGAGGCCCATCAAACACAAAGGTCCACAGGTACCTGGTGGGTGATAACTGGCATTTGTGTACCCTGGGACTTTTGCTGACTGGGCTTAATACCAAAAAATGAAGCCGAGTTTGAATCTGCAACAACATGGTAAACACCACTGGCACCTACCTGATGACTCACTTACCTCATGCAACTCACATACCAACAGGAGCTCTTTCAGTGACTGGCCCCAACAGAAAGCTGGTAGGTGGAGGTGGATCTCGGAGTGACTTGGGCTTTTTGCTTAGCTGCCCCATGGGCTTGGTGCTGGTAGAAGGAGGCATTGCTCTGCAGCTTGGCCCCTTCCAGGTGCACCCAGGCCCAGCAGAGGCAGTCACAAGCTGGATCGCTTTGTTGTTCCACACAGGTAGCCCAGGGGAAATCACAGGCAGAGACTGACATTGACTTGCAAGAGAGTCCCTCCCAAGAGGCCCCAGAACCAACACACTCAGTGGGGGGCTTCAGAGCATGACCCAGTTAGCTCCACAAGCAGAAACCCAAAAAGAAATCTGGGCAGGCACCACACCGAGCTGGCATGAATTACTTCACATGGGGTCAGTCTTTGAACAGCAGCTTGTATACTGTGTGTAGCCCCATGAGGATCAACCCCAATTAGCTGATGTGCTTCCCATGTACACAGAGAGTTGGGCAGGGGAAGGACTAGATGTCACATCAGTAATGGAGTTGGGTAACACGCCTATGTAATGAGTGGATCACTCCGACTCCATTTAGTTTGTTTGCCAGGGAAACAGAGAGCTCCTATTTTTTTTCCATTTGAGCCCACCCTAGGACTCAAGGGTACCTAAGTCCCACTCTGTGAGTCAGAGTTCAGGTTGATGAGACCACAGTCCTATTTGTGATCAAAAGAATCTTTCCAGTGGCTCCAATGTTTTAAATATCTTTGTAAAGAAAACTTGAATGGTTCTATTTCCTTCTATTAAACAAACAAATAGAAGAGTAGCAGTCTTCAGGACTTCCTTGAGCCTCATGTTTTAATCTGCCTTTCTAGAGAACTCCCAACATCCTATGGCCTTCCTTATTAAAACTTACCTTTAATTTGTCACAAACACCAATATTCTCATCTTCAATCCCAACCTAGTGTTGTTCCTCTTGAAACTTGGGATTCTCCTGCTAATTCCATTTTTACCCCCTATTGACTGTGTTCACTACCACTCCCCATATTTCTATTATGAAACTTTCCTACAGATTTGATAAAGAAGGTAGTGTATTACACTTAGCAACCTGAATTTATGTCAGTTTCACCACCTTATATATCCCAATGAGTCACTTTAATCTCTTTTCATTTCCAGTATTCTATGCCAACAATTAGTTAGCCATGATATTAAACACAGGTTGAATAGCTAGAGGCAGTTTTGTTTAATTAATTATGAGGCTTCCTTAAACTACTGAAATTCTATGTGCCTTTGATTCTGTCTATAGAAAAATGGAGAACACCATAGCTGGCAGCATTGGGGGAAAAAACACAATGAAAGAAACACTAAAAAAGCAGAGAATAAAATAAAATAAATCAAAAATTCATGGAAGAGGAAAAAATACCATAGGATCAAGGAAAATACCTCATACAACTAGGCAAAGGTCGTAGCCTAAAGAGAAAACCAGGCTGGGAAGTCAGTAAATAGAGGAATTAATTAGAAATATCCTCTAAATACACGCTGAATTTAATTAATATAACATGAACTATACATAGATATTCTTTACTTACAGGTAAGTACAGTGGGGCCTTGACTTACGGGTGTCCCAACTAACGAGTTTTTCGAGATATGAGCCGTCTCTCAGTCCATTTTTTGCTTTGAGTTGCGAGCTAAAATTCGGGTTACGAACCAGCTTCAGATACCCCACCACTAGTTGGTGCAGCAAATGTCACAGTGAACGCCACAACATCAGCCCAGCATCACGTGTCTCACTCGTTCACAATTGATTTGACATACTAGTAATTTGAGTTACGAGCTCCGTCACGGAACGAATTAAACTCGTAAGTCAAGGCCCCACTGTAATTCATTCCAAAAAAAATAGATATCATTTTACCTAACAACGCTTGACTGATGAGGCCTTGCTTAGGTACAACCTTTGGTTCTGTGGCCATAGCTAACTGAGAAGGGCCCTAAAAGCTTTGGTAGGAAGAGCAAGGTCCTATTTACCACTACAATTGTCAAGGAGAGTAAGATAAATGCTTAGATTAATTAAGCCTCTTAGGAAATCTCTAAATCAGAGTTAACACACAATCAGACTTCACTTTCTGGGTTGGTCTGATTCACATTTATATCTCAATGCCAGCACTACATACGAACTTATCAGTGTATGCTGAGGGACAACAGAATAGACTGGGAAGTCAAACAGGTTGACAGTCAAATCATGGGTTGGCCACTTGCTAACTACAGAATCATGGGTCAATTCATCCACCTCCCTGAATTATAGTTGCCTCATTAATAAAAAGTAGGCTACAATACACAGCTACATTGACAGCTATTGTGATGATTATATAACACAGGTTATATATAATATAGGGTCTAGCACATAGTAGAACACTCTAGAACTTTTAGTTTCTTTTCTCTGCTTTCCCTTAGGTAACTTATAGTTTTTAAAAACCCATAAAATCCTACCTGCATAATGGGTCTTCTTCAGAGAGCTCATGCACTATTAAGGAAAAAGTAAAATACATTTCATTTTAAAACAACAATAGAAAAATACAAGACACTAAAAGTATCAGAGTAATGCTTTGTTATTAAGTATTCCTTTAGGACCACACACAAAGACTATACCAGAGGGACTATTAATTATATTATTAGTAGGCCATTAACAACACTTACTTTCTCCTTTTAAATATACCAAATCCAAGAATAAAAGAGAATGGGCTCTTTCAAAATTTGATACCTACCTATCAACTGCTATCTACAATGAACATAATCCCAACCAAATCCCATAAGGCTGACAGAAAATGGCAACATTAGTAGAAGCAGAATCCTATATAATAAAAACCTAATATGTTAAGTGTCTGGTAGTCCGGTGAACTGTTCAACCAATCAAAGCATAATATGCTAATGATATGCTAATGCAGCTCAACTGCTCGCTATGACCTGCACTGACCACCAGGGGGCAGACACTCTAACCAATAGGTAGCCTGCTGCAGGTGTCTGGCCTATTAGGAATGAGTGAGATGGGCCGGACACACCCTGGAGCCCTCCCGAGGTCCCTCCCAGCCCTGATTATGTACTGGTGGGGTCTCTTGTCCTGGCCTCACCCTCTCATAATCTGGGACCCCTTAGGGGAAGTTGGAGAGGCAGTTTCGACCCAATCCTGCATTCCACTCCACTCAGGAGGGCACCAGATGCAGGGCTCAGGGGTGGCAAGCACTGCTGCTGGCGTACGAGCCTCTCTGGATACTAACTGGGTGCCAGCCCACAGTATGAGCAGGGGTGGCAGGTAAGAGCTACAGGCAGAGTTGGACTGTGGGTTTCAGCCCGATCCCCACAGGCCACCCAAAGGGACTCCTCCTGTGCATGAATATGTGCACGGGGCCTCTAGTCATAGAATAACAATGTCAAACTTAAATAGCATTAGTTTTCTGGACTCCTTCCCTTAGGAGCAGTTACATTATTTTGCATAGCACAGTATGACTTCTCCAGCTCTTCAGTGAATACAGCCAGTTTAGTATGGAACACTCCATCAAAAGGAAGCTTGGTCACTAGACACTACACTTTCGAGCACAGCAAAACATAGGAAGCAGACTCTTTCTGGCCCCATTTCCAATCTATAATAATAAAAGTGTATTATGCTAATTAGACTGGACATCCAGACGTACTTCCAGATGACCTTCCGGATGAAGCCGTGGCGGCAGTGGCCGAGGCAGAGGCTGCTGTTGTGGCGGGCGGGGGCCGAGGCAGCCTCCAAAACCGCGTGCGTCGGATCCATTGCACCAATTTCATGCATCGAGACTCTAGTTGCAAGGTAAGTAGGAGAGACTTTGTGAGTCCAATTTGATAAAGTAGAACCCATGAGACTATTTCCTTTCATTGCTACAGTGTATCTGTCCCAGCTCATAGAGCAGGGTGTTCCAGACAGTCAGTGCTCTGCAGTAGAGCGTGAGGTCATTTTTCTCAACCCTCAACATTAGGTGGCAAATGCCTACAGAAATCATTCTCTTTCAGCTTGTACCACATATGTCATCATAGCCTATGCTGATGAACAACAACAACAAACCACAAAGTTCAAAGAACATCTTGGATCACTACATCCAATTACCTTAGCATTTTAATTTTTTAAACACTCAAAAAGATACCCACTGCATAATTCCTGCTATACAACACTCAGGAAAATACAAAACTATGGAGACAGTAAAAAAAAAAAAGTTCAGTGGTTTCCAAGGGTTAGGGAGAAGGTAGGAATGAATAAGCAGAGCAGGGAGAATTTTTAGGATAATGAAACAATTCTATACGATACTCTTGATGGTGGATATGTGTCATCATACATTTGTCAAAACCCATAGAATGTACACACCAAGAGTGAATCTTCAGGTAACTATGGGCTTTCGTTGATAATGATGTGTCAATGCGCGTCCATCTGTTGTAATAAATGTACCTCTCTGGTGCAGGAAGTCAAAAATGAGCAAGGCTGTGTGTGTAGGGGCTGTGGGGTTGATGAGAACCCTGTACATTCAGCTCAATGTTGCTGTGCATCTAAAACAGCTCAAAAAATAAGGCTTATTAATTTTTCTTTAAAAAATGTATCCGCTGAATCTGCTATTAATATATATCAACATATTAATGCTATTTTCAAGACACAGTCACCTTAGAAATTAACATAAAGATCAGAATATGGGTATTATCCCAAATTGAGTGAAGCATATGGAAAGACATAAATAAAGCCAATAATCTTAATTGTAAACTACGACAAGAAAATAATTGGAAAGTATACCAATCTTACTTGGTTATAAATGGGGATTTAGTGTAACACAAATAAAAAGTGATTGTTTATCTGTAATTAAAAGACACTTTTTATTCTAATTTTAAATCAGAAATTATTATGCTGATTTTATCTAAAAATTATCTTGAAACGGTAATTGGATAAAAAGAAACATTTATCATTCCCTAATATTGCACTAGTAACTTATGTACAAATACCTGTTAAATACTCACCGAGAGTCACAAATGTAATCAGCATTGCAGGCAATTATGGATGATGTGACTGAAACTAGTACCATGTTATATTACTTGCTTTTAAAATAAAATTGTAGATGAGCGCTAAAGATTCGGTCAGGGCTATACCTGCTGTGCAGAAACATTTCATGCAGCAGGCTCAAGTCTGCTCTCCTTAGAAAGTCCTGCTTAAACGCATAGCCTTCAGTTGGTGTCTGAAAATCTGAATCCGAGCAGGGTTTTCATATCTTCCAAACTGATAATAGAGGCTCCCTGTGCCTAAACATTTTGTACAACCAATGGTGTTCATGTTGAACACTGGCTTTCCTTTTGGAAATCTGGAATTTTGGTACATGCTATGGGGAAGATGCCTATGTGGTTAGCATGACATAAAACCTTGGCACTGAGTCTAACCGGACTGGTAGATGACATAGTTCACGTGTGTTGTCAGAATTTGACCCTGGAGCAATGAAGACCTCTTGGTAACTCCACAGGGAGAGGACTCTTGGAAGCTTGTGCCTGGTGTCCTCCACCCTTTGTCACAGGCAAACCTTTTCTCTTTGCTGTTTTTACTTTGGTTTTCCCTGTAATAAATCTCAGGTATGAGCACAACTATATGCTGAGTCCTATAAATCTCTCTAGTGAATAAGCAAACTTAGGTGTGGGTTTAGGATCTTTAACAAAATTGCATTATGTGAAGTTGTTATTATTTGATTTGAGGTTTTATATATAATTACAGTCGGAAGCTGATTGCACAGAATACCTGTCTTTGATTTTGTTTTGCTCAGTGCTTGTTTTGGAGATTCCTGTAGATCTGCAGCTATTGGAAGAAAGGCATAGAAAGGGATAAATAAAACAATGATGTCAGAAAACAATGTGAAACAAACAACAACCCTATTTCCTCAGAATAGAAAATCCAGAGCCCTAATGATTGGCAACATGTTCTATAACATGGAAGTTCCGCTCAAGAAAAGGAAAACATCACACTGACAATTTTCTTCAACTAAGCAGGGCTTAACTCCTTTTTAGAATAGTTATGAATCAATCAAGTAAGTGTGATAACTACAGAAAAACAATAATTATCATATTAGTATAATAGTATCCTTGTGCTTACAGAATTCTTCCCTAACTCGTTCCTAATTTATAATAAAACTAAAATCATGGTTCACCTGTTTAAGGCAGTTGTTGGCAGGCCAAGTCAAAGTCAAAGAAATTGTATCTAAAATGTAGGGATATCCATGGATATTCCATCAAACTCAACATGTATGGAAACTTACTGCTCTTTCCAGTTGAATTGTTGCTCTTTCTTGCTCATATGAAAAAGTCCTAGTCTTCATGTCTGACCTAAATGCCAGTGCACCACCTGGAAACTTATCGGTCACCTTAGATTTCTTTCTCCTCGCCACTTTTTGCATGCAATCACCAGGAAATCATATGAACTTAGCCTCCTACTGTCTCCACTTATTTTGCTACTGTCAACTGCCCTAGTCAAACATGGGCTCTTAAGAAATGGCTTTCATAGGGACTATTATTGTTCCATATCAAATTAATAAGATTTTTCTAAGCAGAAAAAAAGACATAGACCTAGAAAAAAAACCAACATTTCAAATGGAGTAAATATAGCTTCCTGACTCATTTCTGTATGGATGGGTGAAAACTTCATAATGGACTGATGCTAGTCCAAGGAGGCAAAAGCTTCCCTTGTCTCCACGTTTCTTTATGTGGTTTCCTTCTATGTACCCACTACATGAGGGGTCAGTCAGCAAAGGAGGGCCCACAGGCCAAATACGAGCTGCCATCTAGTTTTACAAATAAAATCTCACTGGAACGCAGCCATGCTTGTTCACTTACAGATTCTCTAGGACTGCCCTCACACCACAATGGCAGACTTGAGTAGATATGGCAGACCACACGGCCTAAAATCAGGCCCTTTACAGAAAAAGCCTGCTGATCCCTCCGTCCTATCACAACCAGAGGGCCATAATCAAATCTCATCTTGTTCCTCTTCCAATCAAAACTCCCATGAATCCCTGCAGTAAACACTGCTGGCTCCCTACGTCAGTCTTCATTCTTGCTGGACAACCACAACTGTATTTGGACATTTACTGTCCTGATACACAAAGAAGGTGGTGTCTCCCCAGCTCCAAAAAGGGAAATGATTATACTATGCTCATCACAGTACCTAGTTTACCAATAACTGGTTTAGGAATAAGCATGTGATGTAACTCAGGCCTATAAAACTTTACTCTAAAGTGGTTCTCAACCTGTGGGTCGAGACCCCTTTGGGGTCGAACAACCCTTTCACAAGGGTTGCCTTAGACCATCGGAAAACACAAATATAATTATATATTTTTTTTGTGATTAATCACTATGGTTTAATTATGTTCAATTTGTAACAATGAAAATACATCCTGCATATCATATATTTACATTATGATTCATAACAGTAGCGAAATTACAGTTATGAAGTAGCAACAAAAATAATTTTATGGTTGGGGGTCACCACAACATGAGGAACTATATTAAAGGGTCGCGGCATTAGGAAGGTTGAGAACCACTGCTAGAGGAAGTCAACTGAAAGTCTGTCCATTTTCTCCCTATTTACAGGAAACACATAGGCCAGGCCAGTGTGGTTCAGAGGCTTGAGCATTGTCCCATGCACCAAGAGGTCGCTGGTTCTATTCCCACTCAGGCCACATGGGTTTCAGGTTTGATACTCAGAAGGGGTGGGCAGTAGGCATCAGATCAATGTGATGGTTCTCATTGCTATTTCCATCTCTCTCTCCCTTTCCTATCCTCTCTCACTAAATATCAATAAAACCATATTTTTTGATGTGTAAATTAATTTCTCAAAACATTTTAATCACATAAAGAGTTCAATTACATTTCAATCTTGGTTATTATTCTTTTTTTAAAATTTGTTTTATTGCTTAAAGTATTACAAAGAGTATTACATATGTCTCCTTTTCCCCCCTTGACTTTCCCCCAGCCTCCCCTACCCCCCAGTGTCTTGTGTACATTGGTTATGCTTATATGCATGCATACAAGTCCTTCGGTTGATCTCTTACCCCCTCCCCCTCCAACCCTCCCCAGTCTTCCTGCTGTAGTTTGACAGTCTGTTCGTTTTTTTTTTAAGTTAAAGAAAGCATTTATCTCAACATCACTAACCAAGGATATGCAGATGAAAGCCTTAATGAAGTACCAGCTCACTCCTCTCAAAATGGCTGTCATCAAAATATAAATAACTAACAAGTTTTGGTGAGAATATGGAGAAAAGAGAAAGCCTCGTGCACTGTTCAAGTGATTGTAAATTGGTACAGTCACTGTGGAAAGCAGCATGGACACTCCTCAAAAAATTGAAAATAGAACCGCCATTCCACTTCGGGATATGTATCCAACAGAAACATAAACACGAATTTGAAAAGATATTCACACCCATATTCACTGCAGCAAGATTTACAATAGCCAGGATATGGAAGCAGCATAGATGTTCTTCCATAGATAAATGAATAAAGAAGGTGCAGTATACACCTTGGTTCAAAGGTATATATATATATACATATATATATATACCTTGGTTCAAAGGTGTGTGTATATATATATAAGATTATATATGTGTGTATATACATGTATACTCAGACATAAAAAAGAATGAAATCTTGCCTTTTAGGACCTTTTAGGACCACATGCATGGACCAAAAGGGTGTTATGCTAAGTGAAATAAGATAAAGACAAATACTGTTTGATCTCACTTACCTGTGCAATCTAAAACAACAAAACAAACAAAACAGAAACACACCCTGTAGCTACAGAGAACAAACTGATGGTTGCCAGAGGATAGTTGAGGAGAGGGATGAAATAAAGAATATGAATAAGAAGTGAAAACTTCCAGTTATAAAATATGTAAGCCACTGGGATCTAGTGCACAGCACAGAGAATGTGTTAATTATTGTAATAACTTTGCTCGGTGACAGATGGTTACTAGACTTTTCATTGTGAACCCATCATAAGATATGTGAATGTCAAACCACTATGTCATACACCTGAAAGTAATATATTGTGTGCCAAGTAGACTTTAAAAAATTTAAAAATGAACAAAGCAGTGCTTTGGCCTTCACATATTGCCATATGAGAATAGGTTGCTTTGGAGCCATAGCCAATTACTGACCAGGAAAGCAGACATAAACACTGACAACCTCACAGCTGAATAAGGGACAACACCTGGGATCCTTATGTCATCACTGAGCCACCAAAACAATCCTGGTTCCTATTGTTTCAGCCTCTTAATTAGGCCACCTATTATCTGAAGCTAACAGCATTCTATCTGATAAGTTCCCAAGATCTCAAGATAAGATCTAGTCCTTTCTGTAGTACTAACGGCTTTCATAAGGCTGCCTTAGCTAAGCACTCACCTCATTCCCAACCTTTCCCGTAGTGCACATTTTCACATTGAAACGGTACTGCTCGTGAATCCCATAAACTTCAGGTGTACATCTTAGCTCTTGCCCTGCTGTTCCTGCTGCCTAACGTGTAATCGCAATACCTGTTCCCCCTGCCAAACATAACCCTTCTGGCCCTTTACCTGGCAAACTTCTCCTCCATCTGCATGCTTACTTTAAATCCCACCCACATTTTAATTTTTTTAATTTTTATAGTGTGTGTGTGTGAATTTTAGAGGACATTTATTAAAGTTGGGGATCGTGAAACAAGAAAGGGATGGGAAGTGAGCCTAGGCTCACTAAGTAGTCAGACAAAAGAGGGTCTTGGGGACAGGTTAGAGGGTTTGCCCGGGATAAATTGCAACTGACCACTGTTGCTCTGGTTGTAAGCCTCCTGGGGTCCCTCAGAGTTTGGGAGATGCATCCCTGTGGGAAAAGAAAGGGAGGAAGGCCTGGGGTGCAAGCACACCTTTATTTTTATTTGATTTTTAACTACTTAAAAACATTGATTAGAGAGAGAAAAGGAGAGAACTTTGATTTACTGTTCCACTTATTTATGCATTCATTGGTTGGTTCTGGTATGTACCATGACCAGGGATGAAATTGGTAACAATGCTTTAAGGACTGACCTACAGGGCCAAGGCCTCACCCCAAGGCCTCACCCACATTTTTAAAACTCTAATTCTCATCATGGACTTAAAGTGACTATAAAAAAAAAGATAATTATAAAGTCCTAGTGCATTCTACCACCTGGTAAGCACTGAATAAAGTATAGTAAGTAATAGGAATGACAATGACATTAACAAATTCTTAGAGGGCAGGGACTGTGTTTTTAAAATATTTCAATTCTGCAACATAAGAATGTCATTCAGTACCTAAAAGGCACCTAAGAGTTAAATAGTAGACCAGTAAGTAAATTAATAATTAAATTTTGAAAAAAAAATGGAAAATTCTGCTGAAAAAAAAACACAAAATAAAACAGAAATAAACCAGGGACGGCGCTCTCATATTATGAGAAACTTCAGGGTCAAAACACCATTTCATCCTTGTATTTCCTAAAAGTTGCAAAACCGGCCTACACAAGTCCTCTGATGAAGGTCTACCAAGTCCAAGGTGTCCTCATACATTTCCGATTGCACAATGAACTAGGAGCCACATCTGGGTAGCAATATGGAATTTTTGTCATTGTGAAACACTTTTGTACTTTTATTGTAATTTGTAGAGTCCTGAATTGGGTTATTTGAATACTTATTATGATTACTTTCTGATCAATGGTAACAGAGCATCTTGTTCTAAGAAATGACAATGTCCTGACAATTATCCAACAAACAGAAGGAAACATCTTGTTCTACTGAATCATCATATCTCATTCTGTTTTGACCTCTGAGGAATAAAGGTGATAACAGTGAGATCGTGTTGGCATTATATATGAAATACTCCATGATTCTCCACAGGTTTGGCCTTTCTGACTTCTGTGCTGTTGGTAGGTATCTTTGAAAAATAACCTCCTTGGGCCCTGCCAGCACAGCTCAGTGGTTGATCATTGACCTATGACACTGGAGATCAAAGTTCGATTCACGGTCAGGGCACAGGCCCCCTTTGCAGGCTCGATCCCCAGTGTGGGGTGTGCAGGAGGCAGCTGATCAATGATTCTCTCTCATCATTGATGTTCCTATGCCTCTTCCTTGTCCTTCCTCTCTGAAATCAAGAAAAACAATCTCATTGAGATTGTCACACACTAATAAGTGCTGTAGTTCCTATTGTTTGCCATTTGTTTGTGGTACCAGGAAAGTATTATTGAGTTCCCAGTTTTGGTGACTTTTTTAGTGAGACAAATCACTATGAAAAAACAGGTTTTCATTTACTCAATGTAATCTACTGGCTGTAAAAACTAAACAAAAGATTCATTTTTAAAACAAGTCCAATTAGTTACAAAGTGAATATAGAGGAAACATACAACAATGTAACTTAAAGTCATTTTTCTTTTTTACATAAAGATATCATATAGGATTTTAGGGTTAAGGACTAAATAAATGAACCTCTTTTCAAACACTGTTGCCCCAGGTTTTAAAATTACCTATATTAACTGTTTTAATAATACTGAATACTATTCTATTAAGGAAGAGATTAAGAAAAACTATACATGCAACTTACACATTATTTGTGGGTTTTCTTTTATTGCTCTTTCATTAGGAAAACTTACTCTTAATTCACCCATGGTAGGACCACCAAGAGTAATTCACTATCAGAAGTCTTACCAAGATTGCTATCGTCAGAAGATCTTATAGGTCTTTCTTTATATTTCGAAGGTAGTTGTTGTTCGCTATCAATAAAAAAGGTTATAAATAATATTACTCTGTCAATACAAACATAAAATATTTCCCTAATATTGTAAATTCTTAGAATATTTCAGATAACATCAGAGTCAATATTAAAACTTTAATTCTACTATACACTTCAAACTTGTAAGTTCTACAAACTTCTTATGAAGCATGTAATTTTTTTAAAAAAAAGCATGAAACAGTCATGATTTGAGGGTAATATATTTTGGTGAATTAACTAGAGTTAACTTGACATAATGGCAAGTCTCTTGAACTCAGACATCCCTGTTCTATAACCAACAGCTACTTTTTGTCAAGCAAGTCACTTTTCTATGGCTCAAGGTCCTCCTCTACAAAATAAGAGTTTTACTACCTTACTTTTGAAGGTTGTTTGAATAATTAAACGAAATAAGACAGCAAAAAGAGATGCTTGGAGAAACAGCAAGGCAAAGGAAAACTCTCATCATGAGCTTTATTTTTTGAAACTAATTTAGAATCCCAATGGAATCCCAATGTGGGTTTTTCATAGTTTCTAACATTCAAATGTTGCAGTTCTCAGAAAATATTAACTAGAGACCCGGTGTACGAAATTCGTGCACTCGGGGCAGCGGGGTCCCTCAGCCTGGCCTGTGCCCTCTCGCAGTCCAGGAGCCCCCGGGGGATGTCCAACTGCTGGCTTAGGCTTGCCCTCAAGCCAGCAGTCGGACATCGTTAGTGCTGCAGTGGAGGTGGTAGAGCAGTGGTTCCCAAACTTATTTGGTCTACCGCCCCCTTTCCAGAAAAAATATTACTCAGCCCCTGGAAATTAATTTTTTTAAAATTTTAATAGCAGTTACTCATTGCCCCCAAATGCACCTGTGGCCATCACCGCCCCCTGGATCGCTGCAGCGCCCACCGGGGGGCAGTAGTGCCCACTTTGGGAATCACTGTGGTAGAGGCTCCCGCCACTGCCACTGTGCTTGCTACTCATGAGGCCATCTCAGGGCTTCTGGCTGAGTGACACTGCCCCTGTGGGAGTGCAATGACTACCAGGGGGAAGCTCCTGTGTTAAGTTTCTGCCCACTGGTGGTCAGTGTGTGTCATAGCAATCGGTCATTCTGCCATTTGGTTGACTTGCCTATTAGCATTTTATTACATAGGATGGAACTACTTGACAGTCAATGTGCCCCACTGAGGGGTCCTGGATTGAGGGAGGGCACAGGCCAGGCAGAGGGACCCCACTGGTGCACAATTGGAGCTGGGGAGGGAAGCAGGAGTTTGGCCAGCCGGGGAGGGACCACAGGAGAGCTCCAGGGCATGTCTGGCCCGTCTCACTCAGTCCCAATTGGCTGGACCCCAGCAGCAAGCTAACCTACCAGTTGGAGCATCTGCCCTCTGGTGGTCAGTGCACATCATAGCGAACAGTTGAGCAGCCTTAGCATATCATTAACACATTATGCTTTTATTGGTTGAACGGATGACAGACAACCAGACACTTCGCATATTAGGCTTTTATTATATAGGATTTTGGTTATTACCTATTCTTTCTTTGTGGTTTGTAATTCAGGGTTTTTTAGCTACTATATAACTTGCAACTAAATGTATGTATAAATACATTACCTCATGAAGTCAGATAACACAATGTTCCCTTATTTTTGTTGTGAATCATGCCGACTGCAGAAAACTAATAGAAGTCAAGACGTAGCCTGGACCACTACTATCCCTTCCCTATCTACTCGCACTGTGAACCAGCAGATCTTTATGAGAATGATGCTTAATATCTCTGTCCACACCCAATTGGCTTGGATGACAGAATCCTACCTGTCACTAATGGATACTGATGAGTCATGATGAGGCCTTAGCAATTGTAAGGACCAATAACCTACTTTTGAATCAGAGCTTTCTAACTGGCTTCCATGTGAGGCATAATTTAAAATATTTTGAAACCTGAGGTAAATTAAACTCACTTGGGAATGTTTCATTCTTATGGCAAAGAGATCCTTTGAGGGGCCAACCTCAATTATGGAGTCTCAGGCAGGCTGCTGCCTACTTCTCTGGGAAAGGCAACATGGGACCTTCTATTACCTAAACAAAGACGTTCTAGTGTCCTTGGGGGGCAGATCTGGTAACAAAGGAGAAAGTCTGGTCTTTTCCTGCAGCTTTATTTCAGTCTCTCTGACAGCTTAGAATAGTTCCAACTAAGCCCTTCATTGTTTCACTGGCCCCAGCTTTAATAAATGTACCCTCCAAATATAAAACAAGGAATGAACAATTGTACCTTTCCATGTGATTGATTTTTGAAGCTCTAGTTACTAAAAATTCCACCATTTTCTCTCTGTTTTCATATTTAGCAAGTGAAAGTGGTGTGAAGTCATCCTGTATAAACAGAAAAACAGTTTATAATTTATTAAATTATATATATATATATATACATATATATACAAACTGCACATTAAAACTTACAAAAGATCCACTGAACTTACACATATAATATAGAATGTAAATAAAAAGTAGCCCCTTTTGCCCTGGCTAGTGTTCTCACTGGTTAGAGCATTGGCCTGCTCATGGAAGGGTCCAGGTTTGATTCCCATTCAAGAGATTGTACCTGGGTTGCAGATTTGGTCCCTTGCCCTGGTCTGGGTCTATGCAGGAGGCACCCACACATTAATGTTTCTCTCTCTCACCCCGCAATCCTTCGCTCCCTTCCACTTTCTCTAAAATCAATGGAGGAGGGGAAATACTCTGGTGAGGAGGAAAAAATAAATAAAAGGAGCCCCTATCTTCTCATCCCTGTGCAGTCACTGGCTGTTCTTCCCTTTAAAATGCCCCCCACTGCCTCTTCAACAGATTAACTGCAGCATCCTTCTCCAACTCTCACTTCCAACATTTACAGTACGGGTTCCCAGAATCTGTGTTCCTATCGTGGTGTCCTGTTGTTATTTTGTTGCCTGTGGACTGGGGCTTCCTCTTCCCTCTTGCACTCACCCAGCTCCCCTTGCTGGGACTAGGCCTCCTCCTCCCACCCATCCCCAGCAGCACCATTTCCTAAGCCCCTGCTAGCACAGCAGCCAGGCCCCAGCATCACTTCACTCCCCCAGGCCTTCAGCCTTAGTGGGCTCTGAGCCCATCTCCCACTCCCAGGCACTAACAGGAAGTTCTTCCTTCTGGGGTGGAAGGGTAGCTGGGAGGCAGAGCTTTGCCCCCTACCATGGACACTACATTTCTTCAGCCCTCCTTGCCTGGGTTTTGGAGTGTTTCCATGGTGATAGGGCCTGATCTATTGTATTCAGTGTATGTATGTGAGAAAGAAAATCTTTGTGTGGAAGGAAGGAAGGAAGGAAGGAAGGAAGGAAGGAAGGAAGGAAGGAAGGAAGGAAGGAAGGAAGGAAGGAAGGAAGAAAGGAAGGAAGGAAGGAAGGAAGGAGAAAGAAAGAAAGAAAGAAAGAAAGAAAGGAAGGGAAAGAAAGAAAGAAAGAAAGAAAGAAAGAAAGAAAGAAAGAAAGAAAGAAAGAAAGAAAGAAAGAAAGAAAGAAAGAAAGAAAGAAAGAAAGAAAGAAAGAAAGAAAGAAAGAAAGAAAGAAAGTCCTTGTTGCAGGCTAGTGGGGCTCAGTGGTTGACTGCTGACCCTTGAACCAGGAGGTCAGGGCACATGTCCAGTTTGTGGGCAGAATCCCCAGACGAGATGGGCAGGAGGCTGCCAATGGATAATTCTCTCTATATATATATCTCTCTCTCCCTCTCCTTTCCTTTCTCTTTAAAATTAATAGAACATATAATTTTTAAAAGGCTTGAAACTAAAGTGAAAACATGCATTTCAAATATTTTTCAAATAAAGTTACTTGATCTATACCTTATTTCTTGCTTCCATATTTGCCATACAGGAAAGTAGCTTTTCCACTATCGCTGTATTGTGGCCAAGGACAGCATAGTGAAGAGGAGTGTTGCCATGGATGTCCATTACATTTGGATTGGCACCATGGTCTAGAAGAATGGTTGCACATTCCTCTTGGTCATATTGTATAGCCTGTCAGTATTATGCCAAGAAGTAGATTATAAGTTCTAGGAATTCAAAGTAAACATTCCACAAGTTTCACCAATGTCTTCTAGTTAAATGAGACAAACTCATTTTTATTCTAAGTAATTAAATTAAACCCCCCTCATGTTGACATAGTTGCTAATACATACATGAATGAGAGCTGTTTTGTTGTCAATGTCACAGAGGTTCAATAGGCAATGTCTGCGTGTTAGCAGTCTCACCACTCTCGGATGGCCCTTGCAACAGGCCACATGCAAAGCAGTCCTATGAAAGTGAGAGGACTGCTTAGAGAATTAGAGGGCACCAGATGAAAGCATATAATATCCACATAATTGTAAACATTTCTCTCTATGCCTTCAAAGCAAATATTTAATTTTCTTCTGGAGACAGTACAATATTTATTAGTTTTTGTTACCACATTAGTGAAGGAAAAGCCTATTTGAATACGGAGAGATGACCTGGGAATTCAGCTCAACTTGGTTCTGATCCTGTTTTAATTGTCACTTATTAGCTGTCACTTGGCCTTTCTGGGCCTTAATTTCCTCATCAACAAAATGGGGATAAAAATAATAGGAATCTCACAGGACACCACTGTTTGTTTTAATGAGAATCTATGCAAAGTGTTTACTACAGTAACTTGCACATAAGAAACAGCTTAATAATTGTGGTATTAGTATCATTATTACTATTACCGCCACTTTACAAAGACAACATGTCAGTTAGCAAACTGATATCATTATACCTACTTTGCATATGTGTTTTAAGGATTAGAAAGAACACAGAATTTCAATTATTCTAAAATGCTTATATTCTCTCACTTTAACATCTCTGACATTGGAATCCAATTTTTAATTCAGAATGTCTTACAGAAGGCCAAGAGACATATGTAAAGATGCTCTAAGTCACTAATCACCCAAGAGATGCAAATTAAAATGACAACCAGGTACCATCTCACACC